GCGACAACGCACGCACGCGCACACACACACACACACACACACACACACACACACACACACACACACACACGCGCGCGCGCGCACACACACACACACATACACATACACACACACACATGTAGATGTGCCTGTCAGCAAAGAAAATCTCAAGACGCCTCATAACGTACACATGCTGTGTTCATCCCTCCCAAAAGAACTCACAAGAGTTGGCAGGCCTGACAACGTCCCAGCAAACTGGGCAATGTCCGCAGCAGAGGCCTGTGCAGTAAGTAGCATGCAAAGCGCATGTTGGAAATGCTGCATCTCATCACAACCTGCAAGTAGGTTGGGGTCACACAGGGCTCTTGGCAGTTCTCAAGGAGGTGACCTGACAGCAACGCGCACCCGGTCGATTGCCGCGCCAAGTGCCTCTATGCGTGCCGCGCTCAGGGCGTGCTCCAGCGCCCGACCCAGGTTGGGCAGGCCTCCGCTGGCGAGGGGGCCAGGCTGCGGGGTGTGATTTATGGGGTCAGGTTGAATTGACCAGGTACGTGGCGAGGAAGCGAGGCAAACACCGCAAATGCGTACGAGAATGATGTACGTGCTGGTAAAATAGCTCGCTTGTGTCAATTCAGCAAGCATGACGCACGCGCACACCCTCACCTGTGGCGTCGTGGCTAGGTCTGCGATGGCCAGCAGCTTGCTGCCGCGGCCGTCTCTGCCGATGTTGATGGTGTCGACGGCGTCCAACCAGAGCTCCAGCTGCACAAGCATGCCGTAGAAATGCCGCATTGTTGAAGCGCACATATTCGGCAAATAGCCGGCCTCAATTTGCAACAACGTTGATGCATGGGACTACGCACGGCCCACATGCAGGCGTTGCTCGCATTGCGCTCACACCGCACCTTGCTTGCGTCACCCCACGCCATATCCAGGGCGCTGAACACCTTTTCGGAGCGCCCTGCGTCTGCCAGGAGGACGCCCGCCAAGTCCAGTGCCGCACCCACAGCGCGAGGTGTCAGCAGACGCTGGGGGCAGGGGTGGCGAGGGCGGGCAGGGATGGCGGCTTCAGCGCAAGCAGCGGGTGTCTGGCATGCATCTGAATCCTCTATGTCCTGGTCTCCCCTGAGCGTTTTGCTTCACTACCACCAATTGGAGCGCAGAATGCTCACTCCCCCCCTCCCAGCTCACGCACGCACCTCAGCCGAGGTAGTGAAGCGCTCCAGGCGCACAGGGTCGTCGGTGACTCTGTCAATCAGGGCCTTGTAGCCGACGAGGCGCCCATGGGCCAGCACAAGCTCTAGTGCCTACGCGAACATGGTGCGCTCAGGTGTGTGAGGGGCAAGCAGACGGACAGCTTCCACCAACCTGTGTACCAGCCACCACACACCTGGCGGCAGCCACGCCTGTTCCGCTTGGTGAACATTTAACACCCACCGCAAACGTGCGCTCCAAACGCTGCGGCGTCAACACGGTGGCCAGCGCCTCCAGCACCTGCGCGTGCAGTCAGCAGGCAGGCGGGCGGCGTTGGTAGGCCCTCAACATTGTTGGCAATGAGGGGCTGTCCTCCATAAAAAGCATACGTGCGCGCCCTGCGCTGGGAAGAGCGGCAACTGACGCAACCAAGGCGTTTGCTGAGCCGATGAGAAAGGCCCAGCCCCTGGAGTGCACAAATTGTGCTGTTGCATTTCTCCAGGATGTTGCAGCTTTCCGCGGTTACCTTCTGTGACGTCACTACTCACCATGCGTGTGCGTTCCAGGCGGGCAGTGTCTGTTGCCTCGTCGACCGCCAGCAGCAGCCCCGTCACCCGCTCACTGTGCGCACCAGGCGAGGCCGGTGCAGGGCAGTCAGAAATGCAACGTCAAGAGAGGGAGCGAGCTCGTCACGTCCAATACGCCTCGTCCGTTTACTCACTCTGGCAGGGCGTCGTCCAGCCGCTGTGCCACACCCAGCCCCCAGTCTCCGCCCAGCAGCCCGCCCAGCGCCACCGCCAAGCGGTCCAGGCGCTCCTGGGGCAGCACTCCGTCCAGCGCGCAAAACAGCTGCCGGCGTATAGGAATGCCCGCGGAGGCGGGCGGGCCATCAGTACGCGCTGGTGGTGCATGCTGATCGCAGTGCTGACAACTACGTTTCTACTGCACGCAGTAGCCACCAACGTGAACCACGGTCGAGGGCTGCACCCTCACACGTAACTCGATCACCGCAATCGACAGCGCGCCGCTTGCCTCAGCGCTCGCTGCTGCCCCACCCACCGTTTCCAGGCCCTCCTTCCCAGAGAGGGGCAGCAGCTCGCGCATAAACTGAGCCACGCGGCAAAAATGATCATCCGTCTGCGTGGCAGGGGACCAAGGGGTGGGCCCACCTTGCTTGATCATTGCACTACTTAACAATTTACATTGCCTGAAAGCGTCGCGGCGGTGATGCTTAGCCTGCAATCCACCCTGCTACCTCACAACACCATTTGCGGCGCCCAGGGCCCTGGCCCACCTGGACCTCGTCGTAAACGCCCAGATACTTGGAGCGCCGCGCCTTAGTCCAGTATGTTTGGAACCCTGCGTGGGCAGGGCAGCGGAAGACGGAGGTTTGAATGCCTGGGGACCTGGCGACACCTCGTCGATGTATGTCTTTTCACACTCCACCATCACTTTGTGACAATGCGGTGCCTTTGGCATCTCACTGTGATTGCAAAGCTGCAAAACATGTCATTGTGCTTTTATGGCTGGAACACACACATTTTGTATGCGAGCCTGCTGCCGTCCAGTAGGCCCACGCAGTCGCTGACTTGATGCGCAGTGCCCACCCGTGAATGCTCCTGAGACCACGGGATTGCCACCCTCAAGCGTGGCGTCCAGCACTGCCTTGGGGACGGGTGCGGCCATAGCAGCTTTCATGGCCTATTGGTTGGAAGGAGATGCATGGCCATAGTCTGTGCTTTGGCCTAAAGCAATGGTGGCACGGGACAAATAACATCACTACTGATGTGCTTGCAAGAAAGCAAGGTTGATAATGTATTTCAAGCACCCCGATAATATCAAGATTCGTACTTCCATCTGTCATGCCGCCTTTGGGGCCCCCTGCACCTCTCTCACGGTTGCCCTGCCCCACCTTGAACACCTTTGCCAGCCGCTCCGGCGTCAGCGCCACATCCACAGTGCGCTCCAGGGCGGCCACGGCGTCGTCGTCAAACACCCTGGACGTCAGGCTCGTCATCGCTGTGTAGATGACTGGCGCGGACGACACGTCGCGCAGATAGGGCACAAACCACCTGGCCTGGTGGTGGTGGTCAATGTCCATGTGTGTGTGTGTGTGCGCGCGCGTGTCGTGCGTGCACGTGTGCGCACGCGTGTTGTGGGTGGTGCGCCGTGCGTGCAATATCGTTGCAGGGGCAGGCCTCTCCAGAAACGCCCCCCCAAAAGCGTGCCCATTTGCGACTTGCTTGCAGGTGTGGTTCGGTCAAAGGTCCTGGCAACCACTGAAGTCTGGGGCGCCTGGCATGACAGGCAGAAGCTGCCGACTTTGCCTGCAGGCCGCGTCATTGTACAGCAGCTGTGCCGCATGCGCACCTGCTCTGGTGCAAGGGAGCGGTCGATGGTGTTGATGATGTCTCGCAGATCCGCCAGTGCCGCGGCGTGCGTCCGGTCGTTGAACACGGCCACCATGGCGGGGTGCGTGTTGGCCCTGCCAATGCAGAGATATGCAATGATGGCCTTTGAAACAGGGCTGCAGCTGCACCCTGACATGCGTGAATACGCATCCCCGGGCCCTTGGCCATGCGCTTTCATGGGTGCACACTGCATGAGGGGCGCTGTGCACCCACCTGTACCATGGGCGGTCCACCCACGGCTGCGCCACAAAAGACAGCAGGTCCTGGTGGAGGGTGGTGTCCTGCTGGACGGCCGAGCTGCGGTGGCGTACGGTAGGGGGGGAGGGTAGGTGGCAGTACGTAGTGGTGGGATTTTGCAGGCAGCGTGCAACAGCATGCCCATGCTGACACGTGCAACGTATGTGGCAAGCCCATGCTGACACGTGCACCACTGCCTGCCATTACCATACAATGCCGCCTTTCCACTTGTCGCACTCTGCAGCATCTCAACCCTTCGCCGGCCCACACCCACAAGACACCCACAAGAAGTCGTCCCAGCTGCGCATGCCTAGGATCATGTCCTGCAGGGGGGTTGCCTGGTAGTAGCCCCCAGAAGCTTGTTTCGTGCCGCCCGGACTGGCAGGCGCCTGGCCGCTTGCGCTCGCAGCGCGTCGGCAACTGGTGCGTTGCGTCGCGACTCGCGCAGCACGACAAGGGGTGCTTCGTGCCACCGGCGTCACACGCGAGATCAAGCTGACGGGCGCCAGAAGCTGCATATTCTGAGAGTCTTAAGGACCGCACGAAGGGGTGGTCTTCCGAGTACCTGATTCGGAGGCTTGCCGGAGATCGCAGGCTGTGGGACTATGGGCGCGGCAGTCCGAAGACGATGCGTTTTACGTTGATAGAGAGCTGGTAAGCTGTGTTATTGCATGCATGGTGGTTTGACGGGGTGTGATATGATGGAGGGTGCGCCTTGCTTGTCGCTTCGTTCCGCCATCTTCACCTGTGTGTGTTGACTCATGCATTGAGGCCTCGCCGCACGCGTTAACTTGTAGACACCGCGCTCATCCACTTGAAGATACAGCAACGGCTGTGCGCCCATGGCCATTGTGAGAGCCACGGATCCTGTGGACGTTGCGGAAGCGCATTGGCAAGCTGCCGCCCTTGCCAAGAGCTGCCCCACGGGTCAATGTCCTGGATGAGTAAGATATCTTGTGATCTGACCTAGCTGGGTGGCCAGCCGCTGCCTTGATCATGGAAAGGCAGGCGTGTGCTGCATCAGTACTTAAATCAGCAAGAATTGCCACAGGCATTACGACCTGTAACAAATGGCAGCTCGGTCGCGACTTCGTTTCGTACAAGGCACAAAAAAAAGGCACACAGCCACACAGTGATAAAGACGATCGTAAAGGCATTTATTACTGCCTGGAGGTGGAAACAAAACTCGCAAGTTGTTTGCTTATTACCCCTCTCGTTCTGACTGCAACAGGCCTTTTCACATAGGGTTCCAGTTATCACAGGGTGCATCTGGGCGGCATTGCAAATTGAAACTCTAAAGGAGCGCCATCAAGCCAAACGCTCCTGTGCTGCAAGAGGACACCGACAGCGAACGGTACGTGGCGCACAGGGCGCTGGGCGATTAGAGAGGCCAGTAAGGCGAAAGCAAGTGTCTAGAAGCTGCTCCTTTAGCAGAACAATGAACCAGCTGAGGCATTATGGTACGAGGGCACTGATGTGATGCGCGCGCATGCACAGGCTGCACTCCACCTGTTGTAGGTATAAACGCGTGACCGCCAACAGACCGACCCACTAGGGTCAACCTGAGCATCTGGGTGTGTGCTTTTGTATGTGCTGCAGCACCAGCATACTTGGTCATCCTGTCAGGGTGCGTGATCGGATGTCCGACTCCTATCTCCACAAGAGGGACGAGTGCCAAGTTCCCGTGCAGCAGCTGAGTTTGAGCTGTGACAGCGGTGCGGCGGCGAGGCCACCGACACCCCTCCATGCCTCCCTCCATGCTTCCCGACATGCCAAACAACGTCCGGTAAGGTGCATACACCGAAATTGTTCATATATCATAACACACTTCAAACTATCACCACATTCATCGACAGCTAAAGTTCAAACACGATCTCCACTCCGCAACAACGACAGCACCACCGCAGCCAGCCATGGCGACCGTGGGGGGTGAGGACCCCGCGGACGCTGAGCTCAGGGAGAACCGCTTCGCCTATCTGCTGCAGCCTATCCGCGACCTGGCCGCGAACTGGGACATTGACATCGCCGCGGAGCTCGAGGAGTACCTGGAGGAACTCGAGGGCATTAGCTTTGCGATAGAGGACTGCGGCCCGTCGCTCAACTTCGCGGAGGCCGCCCTGCTGATCCAGGCGCGTGGCTAGAGGCGCCACAGGCGCGTGGCTAGAGGCGCCACAGGGGTGGAGCGCTCCTGCTGTCAGCGCACGTGCTGCTGTCGGCATGCCGTCCGCCCCAGCACGGCATGCCGGCGCTGCTGTTTGTGTTAGTGCTTTGAGCCCGCACACATGGGCTGCTGGCTTTGACTGATGGGGTGACTTGTTGATTGAGCGGCGCCTTGCCCGAAAGTTTGGGGCCCAAACAACGCGGCTCGACAATCACGTGCAAACACATATGGTAGCTGCAGGCTCAGCCCACCTGCCCAACGCCGTCGCAACGCCCCGGCCGTATCCACAGGGCACTACGTGTGTGTACAGCAAGAAGGTGGAGTACCTGCACAACCTGGTTTTCAGGGCCCTTGAGACTATTCACAACAAGAAGCAGCGGGAGCGCGGAGGCACAGACGAGGAGGGAGGCGCCAAGCGCGGCACACGCCAGGTGCGGCTGCTGCTGGCTGGCGAGCCAACGCTCTGTGTGTGTGTGTGCTGGCGGCTCCCACACTCGTTGCCACACCTCAAATTGCATTTAGGCTGGGGTCCCTGCCTGTCTGATACCTAGCCAAGATGCACGCCGCCTGGAGGCAGTGTATTCCTGTCACGTCACCTGCCCAGCCGTCCTAAAGCCAAATCCGACTGCCTGTGCCCCTTGCCAGGCCACGGCAGATGACCTTGACGAGGCTTTCCTGTCTCTGGACGAGGTGGCCCTGGGCCAGGAGGCGGGGCTGGAGGATATTGACCTGGATGAAGACGACGAGTTTGGTGGGTGGTTGAGTGCCCCATGAGGAGGTGATGGGGGCGGTGATTTTTAGGGTTTGTCCAGGGTATGATGGGTATCGGGCGTGCAGCGAAAGATGGACACTGTGTTGCGGGTTCTCCGCACACCAAAACCATAGAGCCCTGGGGTTGTCTGTAGCAGGTGTTGACTTGAAAACTCATTCCGCACCCCCCTGGTGCATAACCGCTCCAAACAGGCCCACGAGAGCTGCTGCGCCCGCCTACTGCGCTTTTGGCACTAGAGGACGCCGCTGCAGGGCAGGGCGAGACCGACGCTGGCAGCTACCGTCTTGCGCAGTGCGTAGTGCACGAGAGCGGCGCCCTGCTGCTGGAGCTGCGGGATGGCGAAGCCTATGACCGCCAGCTGCGCAGCCGGGTGGGGCAACCCGGGCGGATGGCGGCTGCGGTGGCGGCTGCTGCAGCGGCGGCATGCGGCGCTGCTGCAGGCTTGGAGGGTGGCGCCTTTGGAGGTGGTGGTGATGCTTATGATGGTTATGACGACGATGGAGGCGGCGACTGGGGCGGCGGCAGTGACGGCGAAGATGACAGTGGGCCGATTGACATGGACGACGGCCTGGCAGCACCGCAGCCTGCTGGTGGCGCAGGCGATGACGCGGCGTTGGGTGGGATGGCAGACGGCCCTGGCGACGCGCTGGTGGACGACGATGGCGGGGCAGATCCTGGGCAAGCAGTGCTGGCGTCAGCCAGTGGTGGCGCCGCAGAGCAGGCGGCCGGCGTGGCCCTTCGCCAGCGGCGCGGCGCAGGCAACGACAGTGCCGGGCAAGTCGCAGGTGTGGGCCAGGCGTTTGACCCCTACAAGCCCCTGGACCCCAACGACCAGGGCTCGCTGCTGATCAAGCCACTGCAGGTGAGGTGTGGGGGTTGCACAGTGGGCACGAGGCACGTCGCTTGCTACCCGGGTCGCATCGCGTTCTTGCATGGCTTACTGGGTGGAAACCTGCCTAGTTGTGCTGTCCAGCGGTGTGCGCCGCTGTTGCAGGCCACAAAGTGCCTGCAGCTGAACAGCCAGCCCTTCCTCTGACCCTGTACCTGCCCTGGTTGCCGCCTGCCTTCCAAAAGGTCCGCAAGCCGCGGCACCGCGCGGTGCGCGCCACCAGCGCCGTGACCAGGGAGGGGGTCGCGGCGGGCGCTGTGCCCGGGCAGCTGGCGTTTGCAGAGGAGTTTGGCTACTTGGCGGACGCGCTGGCCCAGGCAAGGAGGGCGCTCGCGACGGCAGCGGCACGGCAGGGACGCGCGAGGCCCAAGGCCCGCAGGGCTGGCACAGAGTGTGTGGGCCTGCTGCCACACCTGCAGGGCCGCGCGGTGCTGGACTGGTCTGACGTGGCAGAGGCGGAGCGTGAGGAGGATGCAGCACTTGGAATGGGCGGCGCCGACAGGGCAGTGGGGGCGCAAGGTGCGCAGCCTTTCTTTTGTGTGACATCCAGGGCTGCCCTGCATGGCTGCCCCTCAACATTCGTGATGATGCGTCATGTTGCTCGTGTCTCATGGGTGAATTGTATTCTCATCGGATGCTCGGCGCGGCTGGTGTCTCACGCGCCTGTCCGTAACGCCGTTAACTCTGCGGCGCAGTCGATGATGATTGGGGTGGCGATGACGGCGGTTGGGGCGACGGTGGGGGTGACTCTGAGGACGGCGAGCCAGGCGCTGGCGGCCAGGATCAAGGACCCAGCGCGCTGCAGGCAGCTCTGGAGGAGGCAGCAGGCGGCGGCATGGGTCCAAGCGGCTGGCTGCATGGCGGTGGCAGCGGCGACGTCGCCAGTGGCAGCCACAAGAGCGACTCTTCTCGCCTGAGTTATGAGGAGCTGTGTCGCGCCCATATCGAGAAGCTCATTGCAGCAGCAGCGGCGCAGCAGGTCCAGTCAGACCTGCAGGTGGGCTGCCAAGGCCAAGGCGGTGACGTGCTGAGTCTTGACTACACCCATCTGTGCCAAGAAGGTTGAAAAGCGGGCACAGCATGCAGTTGTGCGGCTTGTGCGGAAAGCAGTGCCTGCCAAGCCAGCCTTATGAACCATCCCCTTGCCTGCAAATGCACTGCCGTTGTCGCCTCTCCTGATATTGCTAGGTGCGTGTGTCCACGTGGCGGCAGCGCATCGACCCTGTGCTGTCTGCTGAGGAGGACCGCAGTGCCTTTGACATCCATACGTACGGAGGCACCATACTGAAGCGCCTTGGGGGCGAGGACGCTGCGGTGGCAGCGCCAGAGGAGGAGGAGGCGGTGCCATTTGGGCGTGTTGTCACGTGCGACAATCCGTTCGAAGTGGCGCGCATGTTTGCCGCCATGCTGCAGCTCGTCAACAACAGGTGCGGGCAGGGCTGGCTCTCCAAGCACAGTGGAGGAGTTGAGGAATCCTTTCATTAGCGGAGCTTCTCAAGATGCTGCGCTGCCGGTGACGAGACCACTCTAGGACACACTCTACATACCTACCAACCCCACATTCTACCCGTCTGCCCCCAATTTTGTTGCTGCAGGAACGTTGAGTTGTGCCGCAGCGACGTGGAGAACCCCTCACAGCCCTTTGGCCTGCAGCTGCTGACCACTGACCGCCACCACGAGAACATGGACGAGCGCATCGGCGCCACGGCAGGGCCCCTGACGACGCAGCTGGCATCACAGCTGGCAGCGGTGGCGGTGGGACACAGCCAGCAGCAGCCGAGCGGGCAGGCAGCCAAGGCAGCTAAATTGGGCCGCAGTGGCGCGAAGGCCAAGGTAACGCGCACAGCGGCGGCGGCACAACCGAAGGGGGGCGGCAGCGGCAACGACAGTGGGGGCAAGGATGCCAGCAGCAGCGAGGGCAGCGACAATGAGAACCGTGGCAGGCGGCGGCAGAACAACGCGCTTACCAAGGGCACGGCAGGTTCACAAAAGCCTGCGGCCAAGCGGCTACGCCAGGCTCGGGTGCAGGCTGCTGCATAAAGTCTGGTTGCTGGCCGGTTGCCTTACTTTTCACCTCAGTTTGCATTTTGACCCTTTTCATTTGACACCTCAGTTTATTCAGCTGGCAGATACTCCACGAGTTCTGTGACCCCTCTCAACACTGCTTGAGGACCTGATCTGGGTGTGTTGAATGTTCCAATTGAGATTCAGGCGTTGCTCACGGCCAGGAGTGGGGCGCTGTTGTATGTCTCAACAGCCACAAACATGATTAATACCGCACGCCCCTGGTGCAAGCGTATTGTCTGAATAAAATGTCGGCGTCCTTGCCCTAGGTGAACGACAAGCAAGCAAGGCAACAATCACAGCAACAGGAGCAAGTGCTGGACCATTGGGAGCCATTGCAGGGTTAGGTCCTGAGCTGCTCATATTGGATGAATATCACAGCAGAGTACTGTATGCACCAACAGCCTGCCCAGCTTTCAGCCGATTCTGGCCGCCTTCGCCGCCTTGTCGCCCTTGGTGACAAAGATCTCCTTGAGGCGCGCGCTCTTGCCCGTGAGCTCGCGCAGGTAGTAGAGCTTGGCCCTGTGGGAAAACAAAATTGTCAAGGGTTTATGGTGTGGGAGTTCATGTGTGTGTGCGCGAGCTTGCGCTTGACGGTGCTTGCAGTGCAGTGCATGCGGATGTGCGCTTGTGAGAGCGTACATACCCTTATGGAGAGATGTGGCTGCAGAACACGACACGGCCAAGGCCAATGAACGTCCCGGCTGCACGCCCCGGGATGAGATAATATGCTTCTTGGCTGTAGCCCTGGCACGTGCAGCCTCCTAGCACTGACGGCAGCCTTCCCTGTGCATGCACCATGCCCGCGCCCTGCCAGCCTGCTTACCTGCGAACTTTGCCGCGACGCACGATCTCCACGGATGACAAAACAGGGGAGTGCAGCATGATGCTCAGCTCAACACCAACACCCTGCTCAGGGGGTGCACACAGCACAGGAGTATCAGGTCAGCTGCTATCTTATTGACCGCAAAACTCACTACTCCAGGGCTGCAGGCCACAGACCTGGGTTCACACAGTCAGAACTCGCACAAACGAGTAGCGCTTCCCAACCTTGCATGCCTGCTCAGTGCACCGAGACAGAGTCTACGTGAGAGAGGATGGCAAAATGACAGTCCTCATGCCTGCCAGCCTCACCCCCTACTCCTTCCACTCACCTGGAAGATGCGCCGCACCACAAACGTCTTGGTGCTGCCGCTGCCCGCCATGGCGATGACGGTGCCATCCACCCGCTGCACACGAGAGCTCTTCGCCTCCTGGACCTGCAGCAGCAGGTGCGGGACGCAAGCGAATGAGACTGCAGATGGCGCATCTTTGGCAGCCAGCTGCCTGGCGCCATGGTCCCGCCGCATAAGAGCTGCAGCAGGATGCTGGCAGTGCGAGGACACTCATCCTTGCGTTCTCCTAGCGTTCTCCATGCAGTCTGTGCCCGTCGCAGTTGTGGTACATTGCTACCCCGACGGTCCCTGACGCACCAGCAGGCCGATGCGCACGCTGTCGCCAATCTGAACGTCGGGCAGGCCGGTCCGAGCCTGGGCCGCTTTCAACTCATCCACCTGGTGGCGAGCGCGGAGCGCCCCAGTGGCAGGACTGCAGCATGGTGCAGGTGCGTGTGCAGCGGCGCACACCGCTTGCGCTGCATAGCAATGCTCCTACAGCCGCCATGTGAACGCTCGCACAAGAATGGGGAATCGTTCTTGCGTCGCTGCCGGAAAATGGGGCTCACCAGAGGTGCCAGCCCACGCACACTGTGAGCCACTGGGAACCGTGGAGGCGCCCGGAGGCCTGTGCTGGCCACGAAGGGCCGCTGTTGCATTAAAGTATTTTGGGACAGCATATGAGCAACAGCTGCTGCCTTGCCGAGTTGTATCCCAAGTCCGGCCACCAGCAGGACGCGCGGCCGGTCCACCAGCAAGGCTTACACGTATATATGGACAATGTCCAATTCTTCCAAGAGATGATATGGAGGTCTCCACACCCACCCCCTATCAGGCGCCTCGGTTTGCTTATGATACTTGGCAGGCCCGCCCATGCAGCAGAAGCACCACCGGTAGCAGCACATACCTGAACTATGCTTGCACACCAGAGCGCCGATTTGCACCAATTTGCAACTCCGGTGGGCCAAGCAAAGTGCTGGCGTGTGATTGTGATGTAGGAAGGCAACAGGGCAGGGGAAGGACAACATATGGCAAGACCTCTACGTGTATTTGCCTCCTGGACAGAATTGGTCATCGTGATCGATACAACTTCTTTGTAATGTGCTGCTGCACTTCGAATATTGGAGCCCCTTAGTCACCTTGAAGCCCACTGGACTAGATTGGGAGGTATTTGGCCACTGGTAGGTGCGCACAAGCTGCCACAGCGGCTTGCCCGCTTGCACCGAGCCACCAACCCCCACGTATCTGACTTGGAATCAAGGAAGGTGAGCTGGGGATACCAAGGCGAATGCAGTCATGGTGCATCGGACCTGGCACAGGATTGCAACACCTGGCAATTGCTGGCACCAGGCACTCAGTCATTGGCAGCAGCTTGCTGGCCTCTGGCACGCTGCCACTTGTCAGCGGTGTTGCAGAGCAGCCGCATAGCAGGGTAGCCCATTATTTTGGTTGTAATTATGGAGGCCTGCTCTACCTGGTCCCCACGGCCAACCACACCCTCCCCAACAAAGCACAGCCTGTGTTGTGTGATGCGAGCATTGCAACACGGCACCGCAATCACACCACTGCTCACTGTCTGCAACAGGTTGAACGTGCACACGTGCAGCTGTGCTGCTACACGAAACCATTCCCCAAACGCGGTTCTATATACGACGCTGCAGCAGGTCATTTCTCCGATGAGCAGCACAAGTTCGTTGGCGCACGGTATCAGCGCCCCCAAACAGAAACTGACAAACATCTTGCAGGGAACAGGCTATCGCACCCTGGGAGAGGCCACACATCTGTGAGGAATAACTTTGAGCTTAACGCAGGGCTTACTTGCATGGAGCATGCCCCTTCACTTGTTGTGCGGCCGGCAGGCAATAGTGCATCAACACCACAAGCACTCCGTCTGGCTCAGGCATGGGAGCGGCCTGGTGGCCCAATACAGGGCTGATCCTGATCCTTAAGGACGTCATATGATCACCATGCAGAAATCACGCTTGTGCTGCACCAGCCACAATGTCAGCGCGTGCGAGATCTGTGTTGATATTTGCACGGCCTCGTACCTCTCTCCTGCTCACAGTACAAGGAATGGTGTTGTTCAGGTGCGGATCGGGTGATGCAATAGCATACAGTGTAGCTCTGAGAGGCATTCCAGGCCACAGGTTGGCTGGTACGGGCCGTGGCCGTGGTGCGTTCCACAAAACCTCCGCACACTAAACCGCTGGACAAACGCCATAGCGGCTGTCGCAGCCACAGAGAGTGCTTGACCAGTCACCCCAAACCTTTGTATGAACGGTTTGCAGTTGTTTCAGTTTATTAATTGGTACATCTGACCCGACATTGTTTGGCCGTGAAGGGCCTCGGAGGACCGATCATGCTTGGGCGGAGTCTTCAGCGCTCCGCGGGGGCCGCGGTGGGTACTAGGAGGAGCGCAGACGTGGTGATCGTGCCACGTAGAGCGTCTCTTACGCGCAGTTTGCTCCGCAGGCCAAGAGGACCCCCGGAGTAGTAGTGCAGCAGAGCAGCAGGCCTGTGCGGAGCACCCGACAGGTGAGCCACAGCAAGGCCCCGGGGGGGCATGGCGTCGAGCGCGATTACTTCATAGGCTTACAAAGCACCATTTGACGCAGGTCATCTGCAATGTGGCCACCGGGCCGAAGCCCGGAACTGCGGGCAAGGCCGTCCAAATCAACATGCTGGACGATGGCTTCGATGGTGAGGCTCCTCTGCACAGATGTTTTGGTGACACACCTCGTTGTCATGCTGCTGCTTGTTGTCCAGCTGGCAGAGCGTGCATGTGGCGCGCCAGCCTCCTGGCTGGACTCGTGGACTGCTCGACGCACGGGCTGCTCGTGTTGTCAACGCACGGGCTAAGACATGGCAGCTTAGGGACATGGCATAATGTCTGGCTAGAACAGGTCTGAGGAGAGTGGACTTGGTTGGCAGCGATCACTGTTGAGCATTCCATGCACCATCCTGCGCGCCGCACGCCACCCAGGCCCCAGCGGCAACAAGGGCCTGTTTACCAGCACCAACCCCGAGCTGCGCCGCGTGGTGCCGGACAATGTGGCTGGCCGTGTGAAGGTGAAGGTGGTGTACACGGTGCTGGAGGCGCAGTACCAGTCGGCACTGTCCGCAGGTGAACTTGGAGGACGCACAGCGGAAGCTGGGGCGCAGCGACACTGTCTGTGGTTTGGCCATGTGGTGGTGGTGGTTGGGGGCAAACAAGCAGGGGCACGGGTTCGCAAGGTTTGACAAGTCATCACATGTGCGGGCGACATTGGACATGGCGGCTTGCAAGCACATGGGTCACAACACAAGCTTGTCCAGCAGCACATACCCTTCCCAACCCCTGACGCCCGCGTGCATCAATGGCTGCTTGTGCTGTGCAGCTGTCAAGGCTATCAACGCCAGCAACAAGACTGTGTGCTTTGAGATCGTGGGCTACCTGCTGGAGGAGCTGCGCGACCCCGACAACTTTGCGTCCTTCAAGGAGGACCTGGCCAGCGCCAACGTCTTCATCGGCTCCCTCATCTTCATCGAGGAGCTGGCCGAGAAGGTGGGGGAGAGTGTGTGCGCGCGTGCGTCTGGGCGGGTGCGTGCGTCCGTGCCGGCAGCTGCGACTGGGGTGGTGCAGGGCGGGTATATCACATGTTGGCATGCTGCTGTGCTCGTATCAACGCATTGCGGCCCAGGCCCTGGTGGATGCTGGTTGCAGGTCAAGGACTAGTGTGGCAGTGCGGCAGCGGCCTGTCCACGAGCAGGCATCTGACGTCCTGTGCATGCGCAGCCCCGCCTCACCTGCCTGACTCAACCACTGTCTCCGCCCCCCAGATCGTGGAGGCCGTGGCCCCCGTGCGCGAGAGGATGGATGCGTGCGTGATCTTCCCCTCCATGCCCGCCGTGATGAAGCTCAACAAGCTGGGCACCTTCAGCATGGCGCAGCTGGGGCAGAGCAAGAGCATGATCGGGGAGTTCATCAAGTGAGGAGGCCGGGGGGCTGCAGGGCGCGGCTCATGGCGTTGAGGGCTGATGGAAGGGGAGAGATGCGACGACGTTGCAGCTGCGGGCGTGTGGGGCACTGTTGCTGCTGCGGCTGATGCTGCGACCAAGCTGCAACCAGGCTGGTCGCAGAGCTGCAGGCTGTGCTTATCAATGCGCACGTGCGTGTGAGCGGCTGTGGCGACTCGGGCTGGCGGGCCTCCGAGTCCACAGCTGGCGTCTGCTCTGCTCCCCTTTCACATTGCCCACCACCATTGTCCGCCCTGCCCCCCTCTCGCCGCTGCCCCTCACCCCTCACCAGGTCTGCGCGCAAGAACAACGACAACTTTGAGGAGGGCCTCCTCAAGCTGGTGCGCACCCTGCCCAAGGTGCTCAAGTACCTGCCCAGCGACAAGGCCCAGGACGCGCGCAACTTCGTGCAGTCGCTGCAGTACTGGCTGGGCGGCAACAGCGAGAACCTGCAAAACTTCCTGCTGACCATCGCGGGGGAGTACGTGCCGGCGCTGCAGGGCGTGACCTTTGAGGTGGCGG